ATGTCTCGACCAAATATACATCCTGACGTAATGACGTTATTTCTCAAAAACTATAATCAAACCTTCTCTTATGTAGATGTTAGTGAAATAATGGAAATGAAGCAATAATCAACTAATTTCTATACTATTGAGGCAATATTCTTTATCATTTCTATCTTTGACAACTTATTATATCCCCAGTAACCACCAACCAAACTAATTCCTGTCTAAGAGAATGGACGAAGAAGGAATCAAAGCCAAGGGCATATAAACAATCAGTATGAAGCAAACTTAATTTCCATCTAAATTAAGGTACCTTACATTAAGCAAAATCTGTCGAGATATTTTTCATTTTTCGAAGATGAACTATCAAGGGAAAAAAATTATTCTCAAGTTACTTTAAATTTCATCTCAAAACTATATATGTAACTCCACCTCATTTCATGATTTCTAACATGACAAAATAGTTTGATGTTTTTATATTAGCTAATTCCCAAAGACAATTCCCATTTCATTTAAACCCAAAAAGCAAACAGAATTGAAGAAAAGAGAAATTAAAAAAATCGGTAAATAATTTAACCTCACTAAACTTGGGAATATTTTCTCATGTCCATTTTGTTCACAAGTACTTCACCAATCTAATAGATTAGTTGAAACACACTAGAATTAAAATTAAAATCAATTTAGGCAGAAATAAGTAATCATTTCCATTTTCTTCTCTAACAAAAGTGAACGAAATAAAATTAAATTTATATATTTTTTAGACTCCGAAACAAATTGGTCAAAACCTACTTGAGGAAGAAAATAGAAAAATTGCCGCCACCCCTCTCCCCCAAATAGATTCATAGAACCAAACAAATTATCTACTCAAGGGAGAAATCAGAATTTTGCAAACCCACAGACAAAGATAAGTAACCAAACAAAAAGAGAATTTCTCAGAAAATAAAAGAAAAAAGACAAATACATATTCTGAGCACATGACCTCTCATAAAACATACTCCTATAGTCCTACTACACAGACATGAAGAGGATTACCTTGAATTCAAGTTACCGCTCAACATAGAAGTGCTTGACCGCACAGTTAGTCTTCCCAAATCCCAGCCACAGTTAAGCTTCTGTAGAAAGAGACGTTTTCCTCCTATGTAACCAGCTTAATTTGGTTGTCTGCAAACCGGATAGGCTTCTGCTAGTTGTTAATTAGATGCGACTCATGAGAGACCTCCTTGATTTCTTCTTCTTACCTTTTTCCTCCTCAACAGTCTAAAAATCACCCTTTTACGGTTTCTTGTATGCATCATCTTCACAGATTTACGACCAACACTTGAGAGGAAGTTAACACCTAGATCACCATCTTAGGCTAACTGGCACGTATAATATTAATCCTAATCCTCCAAAAAGAGAGAGAAGATAAGTGAATTTGGTGCTTGTCATAGCAAGTTATCTTGCCGCTAATTTGTTGTGCCGAGGGAAAGGTATTTAGCAGGAAAAGGTGCTATCATAATAATAAAAGTGTCCTTGAAGTTTTTTCTTCTTTTAAAGTAACACATTAGTAGAAGAAACGGTACATGTAACCGTTACTGCTTTAAAGGAAAACAAAAAGATTGCATTATAAGAATTGGAAAGTGTCGTTTCATTTTTTAACAGTTACTCCTACTACTTTTGGGCTATTAAAAATGAGATGAGGTAAATGGAGAAATAAAGGGAAAGAAGTCAAATAAAGGAGAAAAAAGATAATTAGCTTTCTTGGCCAAAGAGAGGTGCCAAGTCAGCACTCTTTTTCCCTCCTTTATATATATAGATATATATATAGATATAGATTAATGATATTGAGAGAAGAGGACACATTTACAGCTGTTTTATTATTTATTCACAACAAGAAGCAGTAATGGCTGTTACTCTCAAAATTCAATTGCATCAGACTATTTATCTGCATTGCCTCATTCTTGCTTCTATAACATGCAGAATCACAAGCTTCCACTTACTTACAATTTCCATAAGTACATGGTTCGTAGCATGGAAGATGAATTTTATGAAATTGTAGGGATCAGGTATGTTTTTGTTATTTGTTTAGATCATTTTAGTTCACAATAGGTGGGAGGATATTTTGAGTCAGTAATTATGACACTTCATCTTATAACATCTAATTAAAAGTCCTACCTGAGGGTATGTTGACGTATATTATAAATGTTTCTAGGTGTTTTGGGCAAATTTTTGCAAACGTATATATGTTCTAAGTTGTTGGGATCAAAGAAAGAGAAGAGGAAATCTCATCGATGTAGTTCTATTGCTATTTGATGCTAGCTTCTTCTAGAAATGGGTGTTTAATTAGAATAGTTGTGCTGACTTTGCAGTTGGCTACTTTGGAGTTATGCCATCATATGCATCTTCATCAATATTCATGGTAATTAAATTTTCTAATGTGAAAACATCATTTTTGGCTCGTTCAAGTTTCAGAGTGATGTTTCATATATAATGCAGGTCTTGATATCTACTTCTGGCTTTCTTTTGTTCCTGCCATTGTAAGTCCGCCTACCTTCTTTGGTCCGTTACCTAATTGAAATATGAAATGATCTACTATATATTTTCTTGTGCCAAAGCTTGTGATGGTGGTTGGAACAAAACTACAGCATGTAGTCTCTGTGTTGGCACTTGAAATTGCAGAGCCTAAGGATCCACTAATTATTGGAACACAAGTAAAGCCACGCGATGAATTGTTTTGGTTTGGGAAACCGAAGATACTATTACGGTTAATACAGTTCATATCATTTCAGGTCAATAGCTCTTATACTCGATTCACTGTTCAATATTCATTTCATGCAAAACAAATGAATCCATCTTTTTTGTGTGTGTACGCAGAATGCTTTTGAAATGGCAACATTTATCTGGTCCTTGGTGAGATTCATTGCCTTTCTTCTTGTTTAAGATTAATACATTGTCTTCTGCTAATTAAAAATGAATGAATGTGGAGTGGATAATCAGTATGAAAGGAATTTATGCACATCTACATATGACGAGACAACAACACATCCCTTGAACCAAAGTCGGACATTTAATGGTTCAATCATAGTAACCTTAAATTAGTTATTTAATAAGACTGGATTCCCTTCAGGTAGTTGAGGATTCTTCCCCTATGCTATCATTTTTTATCAATTTTTCATTTTCTTAATGCTTTAGAAATGAAAACAAACAGGTCACTTCTCTCTCTCTCTCTATTTGGTTGAATTCTTTTTATTTTTATCTGAGAAAATTACAAGTTCAGTTTGCACACTCTCTTCAACATAATATGCTCAAGTGATTTATTGACATGAAAATAATGTCAGAAAACTAATATTTGCACTTTTTGGAGGGCTACCTACTCATACAATGCAAGCTGTTGTTATTATGAAACCATGTATTTGTATTGGCTTAGAAGTTATTTTTAATTTCTGTGGAGAAGAATATTGATGATTCATTTCATAACAGTATTAATCGAATTGTGCAGTGGGGTTTCGAGCAACGGGCGTGCTTTATGAAGAACCATGCGATGGTTGTTATCAGATTGATTTCAGGGTATGTAAATTAATATACACTTTTACCCCCTTTCACTTATCGTTATATGAGCTGTTTGCACGTAGATCTCAATTCTCACCACAGTAGCGTCTAATCTCACTTCTCCGTCATTCTTCCTATGGGGTAAACATGCAGTGCAAAAGATACTTGAATAAAGATTGTGACCCTTTTGAAACATGTACGTACTGAAAAAATTGGATCCTTAGAAGATGTTTTTGGTACCTAGAAGCTGCACTCATTGAACATTAAAATAGAATCCGTAATATATCTTTTATAACATGTAGTGTATGATGAATATTAGTAGACCTATTTGGTACTCAAAAACCGCACTCTTTGAACAGGGTTCTTGTGCAGTTCTGGTGTAGCCGCAGCACTGTTCCTTTAAACGTAATTATCTCACAGGTGATTCTATTTCTCTATTCTTATATTATTGAAATGTCAACAGTCCACTAAACTAGTCTTAGGCTAATGACAATTGTTTTGATTATAGATGGGTTCGCGGTGTGGAAAGGCTCTCGTTGCAGAAAGTGTTCGAGAATCACTTCACAGTTGGTGTAAGAGAGTAAAGGACAAGTCTAAACGAGATGCTGCTTTACGCTCTATCACTACAAGATCAACGTGTTCCCTAGGATCAACAATTGATGAGATAGCAACAGTAACTTTATCTCCATGTTCTTCTAGAGGCTCATTTCACCACCTAGATGAGAATGTCCTGTCAAATGATCAGCAAGAAGATTGCATTGTTGAAACCTCATATGAACTTTCCTTCAGAAACGTTAACAGGGAATATTCATCGGAACATCTGGCCAATGATACAGAGGAGAATGCGGATAATGAGAGGCATTCATCTGAACCTCTGGTTACTGATATAGAGGAGGCAGGCAAGCCAGATACTCTCTTTGATCTGTTTCAAAAGACATGAATTTTTCAATCTGGCAATTCCATACTCAGACACTAGACACAAATATTTATTGCTGCCTTTGCTATCTGGCAATGGAGAACACTTCTCTAGGTTTAAGGTAGATTAGGAATGAAACAGTCTTGATGAATATACGCCCAATTTTACATGGAAATTTGTTCAGTTGGATCTTTTCATCTTTGCTCGCAGCAATTGCGCCCTCTCATGAGAACCAATAATCGCATCAAAGACCACTCTAACTGGCTAATCGTAAATAGCCCTAGGGTGATGTAACAAAGTATTATCTTGGACCTTAATCAAGGTAATTTTCTAATCTCGCAAAATGTGACAAGATAAGATAAGATAGACCCAATTTTCTCTTGGTTGGACATGGATTACATTTTGCATCTATGCCAAAAAAAATTTAACTAGACAAATTTAGGCAAACCACTTGGCCACTATTATTAAACCATATCCCATTTCATTGGTGTACAAATTTGATTCCTAAGGTGAATTTGGGACAAGTTAAATCTACATGAAAATTAACACATCATCAGCATCTAAAAACAGGGAATAAGGAGATGAAAGTTGATATACTAAGCAAATCAAAGTCATTGACTTGAAGTTGCAACATTGCATCTTTTATGATAACAAAAGAGTTACATATGAAATTAAATGCTCATCAAACAGATTAAAGTGTTTTTTGAAATAATGAGAGGGGCTTAGCCAGTGAGCTCCTCCTCCTTATGGGTCTCAATAGTAACATCAGACTGTGGGTAAGCAACACAGGTTAGCACAAATCCATCAGCCATTTGGTCATCATCAAGAAAGTTTCCATCAGACTGATCAACATTTCCACCTGTAACTTTTCCAGCACAAGAAGAGCAAGAACCAGCTCTGCAACTGTAAGGAAGCTCATGTCCCTCTTCCTCAGCTTGGTCAAGAATGTAAACATCATCTGGACAATCAAACTCAACTGTTCCCTCTGGTGTAATAAGCTTCACTTTGTAACTGGCCATGCAAGTAATCCTACCACCCCTCTCAGATTTAAGACCAAAGAGAGCTTGCCCAACATTTGGTATGGCTTTCAGGCTAGTCACTACTGGTTTCCTCGGAAGGAAAGAGGTGCTAACCATGGTACCTGAAATACTGGCCATTTTTACAATTTTTTCTTTGCTCTGCTCTCACTTGAGATAGTGAGGATATAAGAAGAGGGGGCTTGTGGAAATAGTGTGGTTTGGAGAGGTTTATCTTCCACGTGTCAATAGTGTATGGCTAGCTTTATCAGTTTATCAACTTAGCAGGATTCACCAGTTATCTTGTGAATGTGATTGTCACTGCTTTAATATCAGCCTTTCATTCTCACAAGGCTTGTGGCTTTAATTTGTCCTGTCTTCCCCTGCCAACCACAATTTAAACGGAAAACAAAAAGCTATGCTGTTAGGGAGATATTATATCTGGATTTTGATAGTTAAATCTATATTCATTTAAAAATACTACTGTAATAAATATAACATTCAAATAAAATAATAATTACATATATTAGAGAAAATTTGATTTAAATAGTATCGTAAAAGGTATATGTTTGATATAGCACACTCTAAAAGCTGGCAGCAGTGGTATATGAAGATAGTGGTGATCGGCGTTGATAGTTGTAACTAAGGTGGTGGATAGTGATAGTTGAGGTTGGTGAAGGTTGCTTGTGCAGTGATGGCCGATGGTGATTGTGCAATGATGACTAAAACTACTGGTTATCAACTGGTAGTTTGCAACGAAAGTGGTTGAAGTGGTGGTTGCACAGTGATGGCTAGTGGTGGTGGTTGGCATTAGAGATAATTAGTGGTAGTTGTCATTAGAGATAATTAGTGGTAGTTGTATGGTGGAAGCTAGTAGTGATTAGTAGCCAGTAGTGGCTGCCAGCCGATTTACGTGAAGTGGGTGTCGAATGGTAGTCAATAGAGTGATGGGTAAAAGTTACATTCAAATAAAATAATCAGACCTGTAGTGTTTGTTAAAAAAATGCACTTAAATAAATCGACATCTGAATAATTCATACCCAAACCTACCTATATTAAGCGAACAAACGGTGGTGGGGAATGATATGAATTTGTCACCAAACCTTTTCTAGACAGGAGAGACCAATTTTAACTTAAAACACTTAACTGATCGAGTACTAAATTACACGCTAAACAATAACATCAAAGTCCTTTCGTTTCTAAAAAGAAACAAAAGAAATCCGTAATGGTTGGTAAAGTTGGTGTCCATACACACAGAAGATCTCATGTTTGAGTTAGCTTTGCTCAAGTCACAGCTAAACTTAACGTGTTTGACCCAAGTCTCAGTAGTGATCGATCACCTGTCCTCGAACGTTACACAGATTTTGCTAGCCTTATTAAGAAACGGCACGAAAAGAACAAATTTGCCTGGCGAAACCAAGGAAAGCAAACAAAAAAAGGGGGCCTACATAGCAAATTAACAATGTAGCAAATCTTGACTAAACAAACAGCTTCACATCAATTATACACAAGTTCCTGAAAAGCTACAATCCTTTTTGAGCATCTGACATCCAATTAAATAGGGAAGATGGAAAATTCGGCTCCTGCTTCAAAAAATGCAATGTATATATCCAAACATGGTCCTAACTTGTTCACCAATCAGAAAAAAACTGACCTGAGTATCATTCCTTGGCAATAATCAACAAAAATCAAGGATCCGTGCTTAGAGTGTCCGAAATAACTATATATGACAGTCTGAAACCCTTACCAAATTAGCCTTGAATCCCTTAAACTCTCTAATCTTTCTAATTTAGGTACAAAGGGAAAAAGAAACTCTTACAGCCCAAAGAAGAGGGAAAATCTTCAGGACTCCAACGATTCCTGGCAGAGGCACCAACCATCCCCCACGGAGATTCATGGTTCTTGAGGCTCTTCTTGACCTTAAAGCCAAGTGACCAGGTGAATGAAGGGCATTGTCTGTCCTACTCTCTTTGGAAGAAAATTAGTCACATTTGATGTTTCTGTAAATCCTCCTCACGAATAGATTAGAGCCCAAAAATCCAACAGCACCTGAGTATAGTTGACAAAATCACATGGTTGATTAGGACAACATAAAACAAAATGAAGAGCCACAATAACTGTGTGCTCCCACAAGCAACATACAGAAAACATACAGAGACAGACTTATATGCATCCGTGTCCAAAGCAATGAGACAGGCACAAAACTAAAGCTAACATAAATTATCGCCAAGGAGAGCTCTTACGATGAAAAACAAATCCTACTCAAAGGCAATATCCCATAAATGGTGTAAAAAGAACTGGAGTTGTTATACTCACCGCAGAGAATCCCTAAGCCAAGGCAAAACATCAGTGTGTATCCAAAGTAGAAGCTGGTCTGGAAAAAACCTGACATCTTAGTCTTCACATAGTAATAATAGACTGAGTACAGGTATACATAGACAGCTGTAGATGCGGCTGAGAAAAATGAAGTCCATTGCCAATGGTAATTTTCAGCATTTAGTAGGAAATATGTTCCCACAATAGTCACGCAGATGGTAACAATAATGAGGATCAGAAAGACCAGAAGCATAAATCCATAGACATAGTACACCTGCAAAAGAACACAACGAAACAAATTAGCTATGACTTCATAATTTGCAAAGCCCAGCACAGCTTCAATGAAAATTTCATAAGTCGTTACCTGACAAAAGGCATTACTTCATATACTATTTTTCAATTTTAAAAAGTGGCTAAGTGCAAAATACAACTAATCATGTACATAAAAGGAGTAGGTTGAAGTCCCTTAAGACCCACCCCCTGGCCCTGAAAAAAGGATGATACCCTCCCACTTATCTTCGCCCTCCATGCTCGGGGAGGGAGGAAATGAGTTGATGTAGGAGAATTTGACGAAGAGTTAGACAAAAAAATGTGCAGAAGCACCAACAAATTCGAATTCTGCAGGTACAAGAAAATGAACAGAAGAGGTCAAAACGGATGTAAAATCTGCCTGTCCAGAAGTAATGCCCTCGTCATTAACCTAGGCAATCTTTTCCAGTTCTTCTCCATAGCATTTTAATAGACATTCTCCTATAAAATGATAGAGTTCCTACACACCCAAGTTCAAACAAACGATTAACGTAATTTTCATCCGCATGTATATATGAACATAAATGATGGCCCTCAACTTCTAATCCTATCTAAACAGTGGTGGCTGAAACACTAAGAACAAGCTGAAGTGAACAAGCCAACTGTCAAACCAAAGGGAGAAGGGAGAATGGTTTTATTTAAGAATTATTTGGCTCGACTCATTAAGAATTTTTTATTTGCCTTGACCCCTCATTGTATTTCAAATCCATAATTCAATTCACACTCATATTAATTAGCAACGAGTCTCGATCAATTGAAGAATTCTATCAACTACTTTCTATCTACATTTGTGAACTCTTCGCTTCATTTGTTATTCAAAGTGACTTAGCAAGTAGTTTACCAGCCTATCAGAAGGTTAGTCTTTACCTTGTAATTCCAGAAGGACGTGAAGACAAAATACATCTCAATAAATATGCTTCCAAATGGCAGCAATCCTCCCATCAAGGAAACTACAGAGGGTGTCAGGTACCACTTCTTCTCAGGAATAGGGCGAGGAATGGTCTTGACACGGCATGGATTGTTTGGAGCACCACTCCAGTTTCTTCCAAAAACAGTACCAAGAAGAGCCAGGGGAAAGGAAATGAATGCCCAGATGACAAAGACAACTACCATTGTACCAAAGGGAATGGCTGCTAGAGACCCATAAAATATGGCAATCGTGTTTAGAATAAAGCCAATCCCAAAGCACAAAAATGGGAATAGCGACGCTGTGAGAATCATTGATTTGATCCAGCTTTTCCCTGCAACCATGAATCAAACACCGGGATACTTTTATCGAGAGAGAGAGAGAGCATGTTTTTAAGCAAATATATACTAAGGACCCGTTTGGCCATAGATTTTGTCAAAATAAACTTGGGTTTTATTTGGCAAACACATGTTTGGCCATAGATTTTGCCTACATTTTGGCCAAATCCCAAAACCCAAAACCAGCTCAATAGCTGATTTTGGGCCAAAATATCACCATTATATTTTTTTAAAATTGCCCCAAACTTTTGTATTTTATAAAAGAGCCCACCATTTATTATTTTGTAACGATATTGCTTCGTCTTCTAGATCATCTGATAGTGTATCATGTAGTTCATTATAAAAATGATAATTTTGCATCAAATTTATTTATGTTCAGGACTATGGTTTGCGATAATATAATGAATGTTATTGATAATGGTATTGTTGGGTATTTGTGATAGTTTTTAGAACTTGTGGGTATAAGTCATGTTTCATGTTTTTCCAAACCAAACTTCACCCAAAACAGATGTCCAAACACATTTTCATCTTCAAACCAAACTTCATCCAAATCAAATTTTTCAGAATAAATTTGGGAATCTATGGCCAAACGCTAGCTAAATATCCCAAATGAAATACCTTATAAAAACATATCAAAAGATATGTATACCGAGTATCAGTAAACCAAACAATACAAGGAAATAAAAGCTGCACAACCAAAAAAATGTTGGTACCAGAATGTCATACAGTATACAGTAAAAAACATGAAGGCAAAATTTTCCATTCACCTGAACTTTCTTAGTCAGGTGAACCACAATGACAAGCCATAGAGAGGAGGTCCAATAAAAGTAGTGTCATGTATGCACAGATATAGATAAGCAAGAGTACATACCACCATTTCGTGAGTACATTGCACCACTAACATAGCCCGAAATGAAAGATGTCAAAGCATAACATACTATGAAAGTCGTGACAATAGCTCCTCTCCTGTAAAAAGAATATACATATGCCATGTAAGCTTTTTCCCCCCAAAAAAAGCTATTTAGCTGATAATTCTGTCAACATAGCGTGTAAATAGAGTTAATTAAAATGATTGTTGCTAGACAGGAATAGCCAACAGCCTGCTAGTAAATGTACAATTTAATGCAAAATTATTTGAAAAGTAGAAAAATAGCAGATAGCCATCATCAAATACCCCTATAACTCGCTTCTAGGCTTCATTAGGCAACAACTACTTTTCAAGGAATGATACCAAGAGTTCCAACATACCCAACATATAATGTCCCCACAATTGCCAACAGAATGACAAGGAGAACAAGCAGTGCCAG